AGCCACCCAGACGTGCAGGGGCATCACAGAGTGTAGACCTGAGGGTCTAGCTGGACCTCAGCTCACTATGCACTTCAAAGGAGCTTTCTCGGGGCTCTGTGGCCAGCCTGTCGTGGACACTGGGTGTCAAGTGAGGGACAGGATGAAGTCCTTGGCTTGGGAGGGGCATCCGACTGTCTCTGGTCTAACGGGACTTGAGTCCTGACCCCTCCCGTCAGACACAAACGCTCCGCGAGGACCGAGTCCCTGGAAGCACAGAGCGCATGTGGCCCCAGGCCCTGGGTTCTGAGTGGTGGCACCGCCCTACGACTCTTTCATAAAGGAAGACGTCCCGGGTCCCTCTGATCTGAGAAACGCTGCTGCCCGGACCTCCATAGCCTCCTAGATCCTCGCCGGCCTCCTCCGGGCCTGAGGAAGGCCTGCGCACATGAGGGGCCTGAGCAGGTGCCCGCTGACCAGACGGTGCCCCCCACGAGCCCTGCACGTGGCTCAGAGGTGTGCCCAGGACCCAGCACCACCAGCCAGCGGGGTGGCCTGAAGGGTGGGCAGATTGGGGGCTTCTCTGGGGCTGAACCCCAAAGAGGAGTCTGCTGGCTGTCCTTCACGCACGACGGTGAAGACTGCGAGGGTCGGTGGGTGCCAGAGCTGCAGGCTGCAGGGCGGGCCTGAGGGGCCAGGCGGGGCCGGCACAGCTAGGACACTGGTCCTGCTGGAGACCCTGTAGCTCGGGCGGTCGAGGCACCTGGAGGAGGAGCCTCGGTCTCCTGCCTGTGCAAGGGGCCAGCGAACTGTGCACCTTATAGAGGCTGATTTTTTTTTTTTTTGTCCCAGGGATTGAACCCAGAAGAGCCAGGGGGGCCAGACGAAGACCCCAGACTGGCGCCGGCTCCCAGGACCAGTGTGTGCAATAGAAGGCGGTGCGGGTCTTGCTGTCCTTCGGAACTTTCCAGAAAGTGAAACAACGGGTAAAACAGGTGGAAATGGCATTCTTCGAACCCCGTGTCCAGCGCATTCCACAAGCAGACACCGTCGCCGTCACTGGGCCCTCTCTTGTGCCCCTTTCTCCTCGGGTCTTCAAAACTTGGGGTGAGTTCTGTCCCTCGGGCACCTCTCAGGTGCTTGGGTGATGCTACGGTGCCTTCCCCTTCCTGTCCCAGCGAGGAGCAGAGGGTGGCCGCTCGAGGCCACCGTGAGCAAGATCCCTGCCCTCCCCGTCCCTCCCGGGCAGAAGAGGGCGGCCTGGGAGGGTCCCGGGGGGCCTGCCGCCGTCAGCCAGGTGCTGGGTGCAGCCCCGTCCCCCAGCCACACAGTAGCCTGGCCGTTGTTCCCCTTGCTACCTGACAGTGACCCTCACCTGGGCTGCCTGGGCCCTTCCTGCCGATGGCCAGCCTGGATTTGCAGGTGTCCTTGGGGACACCACTTGACTGACACAAATGTGTGTCCAGGTGGTCCCTTGTGAAAGTACTGCTGTGTGTCTGGGAGTGCTCTGCTTTCCCCAGTGTCCCCAACGCCCCCAGTGTCCCCGCCGCCCCCTTCTCTTAGACCCCAGCTCTGCAGTTCACAGGGATGGGAGGGGCTTTAACTGCCTCCCGTGGGGAACACGGGAGTGACTGAGAGGACATTTTGCCTGGGGCTGAAAGGGGCAGTGTCCCCAGGGAGGGAGTGACCGCTTCAGGTTTAAGGAAGTCCCATTGCCGCCCACAGGGACGGGCTTCTCTGTCACCTGCCACAGGCTGGGCTCCTTCTCCTCAGCTGATACAGCCCAAGCCCAGGGGAAGGAGTGCTGGGAGCAAGATAAAGGGGTCCACTCAGAACCCAGACTCCCGGGGCCTGCGTGGGTGAAACCGACCCCTGTTCTTACTGAAAAGCAAGGCCATAAAATGGGACTTGCTCCAGTAAAACCCCCGTGATCCAGGAGGAAATGAAGCTGTGAGATGGAGTTCACTTCATCCCTGATCTGAAAGGGAGTCTGGGGAAATGCTAATTCTGAACTTTTCTGCACCCTTCCTGCCTCTGGGCTCAGCTGATTCCTCTGCACAATTGAGCTGGGGGAGCGGCCCACGGAACAAGCCCCCCTTTTCTTGATTAGCGGAAAAGTGTGGCTATTTAAAAAGACGCCTCACGTAATTTTTTTCCTTTTTAGCATTTCCGAGCTGGGGTAGGGGTGGGGCCGGCTCAGCTGGGCACCTACTTGGAGAGCGTGCGTCTGGGCGGGCGGGAGCCCGGGCCTCCTTCTGCATTTTCGGATGAGAGAGGCCACCGTATGTCCACTTCCTGGGGTCCTCTCCTTCCTGGGCCCACCCAGCAGGCGGCACGCTGGTCCCTGGGTGAGAAGCTGTGCTGACCGGGCAAGGGGGCCCCAGCTCCCTGCTGACCGTCCTGGGAGGCCTTGTCCACCCGGGGCTGCTGTCGGTGGGCCCGGGCCATTTGCTTTCAGGAAGGGTCTCCCCAGCCTGAAGGTCTGGGGGCGCCCAGTGTGCGCCAAGCAGTGACGAGGTGGACGCCCCTGGGAGTGACCGCTGTGTGCTCTGAAGCCTGACGGGCACCACTTCTTGTCTTCTTCCCCGAGTGACACCAGGCCTTCCAGGGACCCTCTGCTGCCACCAGGGAGTGGCCCTGATGGAGGGCCACACACACCACACGGGGAGGCAGGGCTGGCCACAGAGCCCCCCCCAGCCAGTCCTTCCGGGCAGGTGGCCGGCACCTGGGCCTTGTCTGGAGAAGGCACTGCCGGCCTCCGGGTCTCAGGCCCTGCTGGGTTGCGCGAGAGGCCCGGGCCCGGGGATGGGCAGCCCTCACCTCACCAGGTCAGCTGACGCGATGCCGGGGGAGGCCAGTGTCCAGCCTGGCCCCAACCCCAGCTGTCCCGAGGCACAGGAGAGTGGACTGGGCACAGCGGGGGCAGAGGCATTTCTGGGCTCTGGGCTCGGCCTTTCATGTGGGAGCAGAGGGGGAGCCCAGGCCACTGTGGGCCACGGCCAAGCACAGGGGGGCCCAGTCCAGTCAGTGGGCCCCAGTGCCACCCTGTGCAAGAGGGCCTGAGGCTGGGAGGGACAGGGGTGTCCGTGAGTTGCCTGGGGGGGGGCACAGTGGGTGGGTCAGACCCAGTTTCTGCACCTAGACAGTCCAGAGCATCGTCCTGGCCCAGGGCTGTCTCGGGTGTGCCCCGAGAGGGAGTCCTGTCCCGGGGTCCGTGGCTCAGCGGTCAGGCTGGGCCTACAGGAGCTGTTGGGGCAGGTGCAGGTGGACCGTCCCGGCAGCTGGGTGGCCGATGGAGTCCCGGAGACCCCTGCAGACTGGAGACTGGATGAGCCTGGAAACAGGAAGCCCTCAGGGTCTCGTGCAAGAGATCCGCTGACCCTCGGATCTTTCAACCTTTGTCTACGTTCAGGCCCCGGATCCTTGGGTCAGCCTGTGAGAGGCAGATGAGTTTCTGCCTTTTCCAGACCAGGAAAGCGAGGCTCAGAGAGGTTGCTTCACTTATCTGAGGACCCGCAGAGGACCTGGACAGCCAGAGGCTGACTGGGTCTCTGATATAACACTGGGTGGGAGGGGGGTCTTAAATTCAGGCCCCTCCTCTGCTTTTGGCCCCGAAGCTTGTACTTAGAGACTTAGGAGGGGCCCAGAGTGCCTCCCTTCGCCCCCTGCTACACAGCCTTCATGGGGCAGGCTCAAGTGACCACCCGGGAGGCTGTGGGTGGGGGCAGGGGTGTGGAACAGCATCCCCCTAACCAGGGTGCTCTGTTGGCCATCGGCCAGTGACCGCAGCCCCCAGTAAGCGCCTCACCCCGGGCCAGGCAGCCAAGGGACCGAGTGCAGAGCCAGGGCAGGGGCAGGACGGTCACATACATGGTGTTTCTGGCCCGGCCCAGGGGCCTCAGAAGCCAGCAGGACTGGCAGAGGAGGCTGCAGGATTGGGGGGCCCAGGCCCCTGGGGGAGGCAGGAGGAGGCTGGGACCTGCCCGTGGCCCAGAGCCCCCGTAGGACTTGGCTACAGGTTCTGGGGACAGTGGGGGGTACAGGGTGAGCGGCCCTGAGTGAGTCCAAGGTTGGGGGAACCCAGGGAGACCTGGTGGCACCGAACGACCCAGAAGGCCCAGGCCACAGGCTGGACTGGAGACCCCGCCCCGCAGCGGCCCCTTGCCCGACCCTCGGTGACCTTGCAGGGCTCTGGGGTTGCCCAGAGGACAGGGAGGCTGGGGCTGGTCAGGGCCTTTGGAGCTTGGGAACCGGGCAGAGCTGGGCTCTACCCATGGTGCACCCGGGAGTGACTTGTCACCTCCCTGGGCCTCGGTCTCCCCTCTGTGCCTGCCTCGTGGGTGGCTGGAGAGAGAGAGGTCCAGACCTCTGACCCCTGACCCCGGCCAGTGTTGCTCCCCCAGGACTCAGTGATCAGTCCCTGGAGAGGCCGTGCACACCGTCGGGGGCCTGGCCTCCAGTCACAGCAAGTGGAAGGTCCTCGAGTCCAAAAAAGAGGGTGCCATGCGCCGCTTCCCATAGCCCAGCCTGGAGCCTGGGCACGGGAGTGGACGAGCCCGGACCCCAGGCCCAGCCTCCCTCCCTCCCTCGCCCTCTCCTTGGCCCCCAGCTTCCTCCCCTGGCCTCCAGCCCCCGGCTTCCCTTCCTTGTAGGCAAAAGGAGCCTCTCTGTGCGTTTCTATTTCTGCACCTTCCGCTTCCTGGCAGTGGCCGGCTGCTGCAGAAAGTTCTGGAATCCACAGGCCAGCTGGCCCCAGGCAGGATGTGGGGCCTCGGTTCCCTCCCCCCAGCAGCACAGGGCCTGCCAGGGGCCCCTACCCAGGGAGTCGGGGAGGCCTGTGGCCAGTAGGAGATGGCAGAGAGAAGGCGTGGCCAGCCACCCAGGTCCCCGGGGGTGAGGTCCCGAGGTCCCAGGGGTGTGCCGCACCCTGAGGCCGGCAGGAAGGGCCGCTCCTTTCAGTTATTAGCCATTAGCTCCGAGATATGCATTATGCACCGACTGCATGCCAGGTGTGGCCCAGGCGCTGGGCAGTCACACCCAGGGATAAACAAACTCGCACCCTGTGCTTTGGCCGTGGCCTTGGCCATGGTCAGGGCCGGGGTTGCCCGAGTCTCGCAGCCGAGGAACACAGGATTCAAACAGGCGTTGGGACGCAGGGAAGGAGCTGCCTGCCACCTTCTTGGAAAATCGGGTGTGTGAGAGACGGACAGGGGCAGAGCAGAGCAGGTGTCCCCAGAGTCGGGCTCCAGGGCGTGTTTTCCAAGGCTCAGGGTCTGGCATTTGGGCGGGGTCCTTGCAACACCTCCGGCCCTGGTAAATGGCGCAGGTGCTGGGAAGGACCCTGGGCTGCGTCACAGCAGGTGGGCCTCGCCCCTGCACCGGCGGGGAGGGCGCCTGGGCAGGTCCTAGCACGGGGCTCTGGGCACGGGTCTGGAAGCTTGGTGGGTGGATCCCCCAGGGAAGCCCCTCTGCCACACGCAGGGTCACGGAGCTCAGCAGGAGCCGCCGCCTTTATTTAAAGTGTTTCCTCTTGAAGGGGCCATAGTAGTAGCACAGTGCACAACACTCAGGAAGTACTGGACGGCCGAGTAAGGGAAACGAGAGCAGCCGAAGCTCTGCACACAGGTCACCGGTCCACCTGGCGGTCCAGCCGTGGGCCTCGCTGTTAACGGGGTAGACAGGCCGCTTCCCTCAGCGGAAGCCGCATGCAGGCCCGGTGCTGTGCGGGGAAGTCCCGGTGGGACAGGAAGCTTCCGTGTGGCTCCCACTGGTGGCAGGGCTCAGGGCCTGGGAAGCGGCCGGCTCCCTGGTGTCCCGCGTTCCCAGACTCTTCACTACGTGATCAGGGCCACACGGTCTCTGTCTTCCCGCCCGTGGCGCCCCGGCTCCCGGAGCAGGGTTCTTACTGGCCGAAGGGTGTTGTGTGGGGCGTGTTAATGGCCTGTCGTCCCCACCTCCAGCTGGCGGGTGTCACAGGTGACACTGAGGCGTCCCCCCTGCGTACACATCTTGGCATTCAGGAGGCTTCCCAGGGCCCTTTCTGGAAGCTCCATGGGAGGACGGGCTCCTTCTGCCAACTCATCCTCCGAGAGCTGGAATCGACCATATTCCCACCAGGTGGAGAGGGACAGCGCCACAGCGTTGCAGGGTAACGTGTTTTCCGTCTGTGACGCTGCACATGGCGTGTCTTTGCTTACGAGTGAGAACAAATGGCTTCTTGGCCTTCGTACTTTGCTTTTGAAATACCCGTTTGTCTTTCAGCCAGCGACCGCGCAGCTCGTTGATCTTGTTGATTTGCAGGAACTTTCTGTATATTAAGGGTACGTCTGTCTTTTGTTTCACGTGCTGTGATATTTTCTCAGTCTCTTTGGAATAATCAGTTCATTATTTTTTCTTGATAAAAGGAGGACATGGTCCAGTGTCTAGAACTTCTTTATATCAGTATTTTCTTTGCTAGTTCAGGACATCTTTCCTAATGTCACTTCTGCAGTGAGGGCCGAGTGACATCTCATTGGGATAGACACTTTTGTGGCCCCAGGCACGTGCCTACAGGCAGTGAGTGGGGGGCTACAAACGTCCTGCTGTGTGGCCCCACCCTGGAGTCTGCACCTGAGCCTGCGGGGAGAGGAGAAGCCACCCCATTTCCCTGCAGGAGGTGGCCCCGCTAACAGACCGCAGATGCCCGCTGCAGTGGACTTGGTGGCGGGGTCCTGTGGCGTGGCCTGTGGGACAGGCAGGTCCCAGAGGAGGTTTCTCCTGTTCTGTCACAATCCCCCGTGTCCCTGTGTCCTCTCCTTCCTTCCTTCACCAGCCAGGACTGGGGACCCAGGAGCGGTGAACTTGGGAGCCCGAGAGGAACCCACCAGGGTAGCAGTCGTGGGGGGCGGAGGGCGCGGGCAGGACGCCGGGTGCTTTACGTGTGGCACTTGGGGGGTCTGCTCACACAGGCATTTGAGGAAGGGTCACCCCTGTGGCGAAGCCACACAGTGCTCATGGTCTCTTCTGGGCAGGGGGCCACGTGGGCAGAGGCCCAGGAGTTGGTCTGGACCATGTGGTGAGCACAGGCCGGGCCTGGCTGAGCCCCTCGCATCTCCCACTCCTGAATGCGGCCGAGTGGGCATCTGTGTAGGAGGCGCCATGCCAGGGCACTGAGTGGGTCCCTGGGATGTGCCATCTACAGCGCCCTGCTGGAGGCCAGGGAGACAGGGACAGGCCCTGGGCACGCATGTGGAGGTGTCCTTGGCCTCTGGAAGTCGCCACTTTGCAGGTGACGTGTCTGGAATACACAGCTCTTGCGCCACTGAGGGGACCCAGGGACCCATCTATAATGTCCAGGCCTGTGCTCTGGGCAGCTGTGGCAATCCCAGAAAAAGAACAAGCATTCTACTCTTGTGGCACCTCACTGCCACAGGTCTGTCCCCAAGGAGCCGACGGCCTGGAGAAGGTGCGTCCTGCTGCGATGAGCCCCCTCCTTGTGGTGGCAGGCCTCTGCCCTGCAGGACACGCTGAGTGGGAGGAGGACACCTCTCCAGGAAGAGAGGCTACTTCCCCGGCCGTTGGCCGCCCTCCATAAGAACATGGGGACAGCATTCAGGGGGGCTGGAGCCTTTTAGGGGTCCCCCACCCCTCAGAGGGGCACCTTGGGGTCCAGAGGGCGGGTCCTTCTGAAGGTCACCCTGCAAGTACTGGCGGAGGTGCCTGGGCCTGTGGGGACTGGTCAGGTGGGAACAAGCCCGGCCTGGCCCTGGGGGAGCCGGGACTCCAGCCGCGGCAGTGGGTAAAGTCCAAGCCTCTTCTCTCCGGAGCAAAGGTGGGCTGGCCAGGCCCCGATGGCTACATCAGAAGGGAGCGAGGAAGTGTGGGGCCACCTCCCCGGGACGCAGCGGTGGGGACTGTGAGCGGCCGAACGCCGGCAAGGTGGACCCCGGCCACCCGTGCTACATCCAACATGGCCAAGTGGACTGACCCAGGAATGCAAAGGTGTTTCCACATAGAAAATCAGCCGTGTGACACGTCACTGTAATGGCATGAGGTGGGAGAGCCCACGTGGTCAGCTGGGTGGGTGTGGGAAAGGCATCTAACAAAACCCAACGCCTCTCATGATAAGACCTCCAAGAAACTAAAGATAGTGGGAAGTGGCTCAAGATGACGGCTAACGTCGTATTAATGTGGAAAGACCCGAGCTGTTCCACCAGACAGGGAGCAACACAGGAGGCTCTCTCAACAGTGCTGGTCATGGGGGGCGTGTGGGGCTCAGGACGCCTGGCCAGAGCTGCTGAGGAAGGGAGAGAGAGGGAGGGAGGGAGAGAAAGGGAGGGAGGGAGGGAGAGAGGGAGGGAGGGAGGGAGGGAGAGGGAGAGAG